TAAATGAATATCAGAAACCTGGTGTGTACCGCATTCCTTATGAATGTGGTCTGTTTTACATTGGTGAAACTGGTCGAAATCTCTCAGTACGTCTTAAGGAACACAAGACGATTTGCGAGAAAGCCGAGCAAGATAAATCTGCTGTGGCTAAACATACTTGGACTTACGACCATCGTATAAAATGGGACGAAGCAACCATTTTGGCGATTGATAGTCATAAGTTCTCTCGCAAAATGAGAGAGTCAATTGAAATCGAGAAGCACAATTCTATAGATCAGGAGGGAAAGCCACTAGATAGTACGTGGCGTGCTCTCTTTAATGTGCAAAATTAATTTCTCTTGTCTTGGATGCGCGCGCGTTAATTGGAATCACTTCATTACGTTTGAAATGACGTTGTTGATGTGCCGTTTAATTAAATTTCAAATGACGCGAGCCAACAGATCACGACACTGTTGTATATAAAAGGAGCGTGTGAATTAAACAAGTCACATATTATTAGCACTGATGAAGATCCGGGCTTACGGATCGAAAGCTTTGCAGTAATAAATTTACGTGGTGTTTCCACAAACAAAAACAATTATACACATTTTGTTTGTATCGTTTGCCTTAAATAATTCCTCGTCATATTTTCTAGTTCTTGTACATGCGCAGACGTTTTTTCTCGGTGTTTTTCGTATGGGGATATTCATTAAATTAAAAATTATCGTTTTAGACCGGGAGGCGTGTGAACGTTTCTTGAAAAATTGTCGTATACCCAACTTAAGACAGAAAAGTTAAGAAAACTAGCAAATACAAATATTTATATATGTCCTTATGTGAAAACATACTCCAAATCTCTTTCCTGCACAGAAGTGTTCTCAGTTAAACTGACATTTGGCAATATACCCGCGTATTGTTAGTCGTGCGGGTAAATTGTGAATTCGTAATTTTCACAATTTTTCGTGGTGACCCTGAATATAATAATGTAATATAACGCCATTGATTTGTAGTCAATGCTACTTCACTCTTACATCTTAAAATATACCTGATTTCGGAAAGTGGTAAACGAAGCAAATTCTGCGAGTTGTACGAATTATTTATGTTATTTTAAATCTGCATTGAAAAGGAGGAAATGGTTACAGCGGATAGAAATGAAATAGATTACCCTTTGCCCCAATCCAGAACTTCTTGCCATATTGTGCATCAAGGACGTTTTGCAGCCATTGGCTTAAATTAAAGTCGCGCTTGCAGCAGTAGATTACCGAGTTAATTTAATTTAAAATTCTTCAAAATAATTGTGATATTTCTCTTTGCTGCACCCTGCATGATAGCGAGCATTGATACGTTTGCTACTTGAACATCAATTCACATTTAATTGTTATTTACAGGGGACGACGCTAGCTCTGCAAAATCACGCCGGTAAGTAAGGCGTTACTTTAAATAGAAGTTCCCAGAGAGACTTTCACAGATGTATAGACTGGGAAGAAATAGATCTATTCTGATCAGTACTGCTAAAATTGTGCATTTCTTGAATATATGGGACCTGTTTATGGTGAATCGTGCTATTTAAATATTAACATGTACTTGTAGTTGAGGAAAAGTTACGTATAGTACAAAAACGAAGGAGACGCATGCAAAAGAGTAAATCAAGTTCGCGACATTGAGTAAAGAGTATAAATGTATGTTTTGTTAAACGAAAATTGCTGCTTTGAAGCCCTTCAGGGCCTTAATTTCATTACTTGGACAGCGCAAAATTCTTGTGCAGGTCGGGGCAAATAATATCCCAGTTCCATTAGGTAGGGGGGGGGGGGGAGATCATCGAGAAAAGCTGCATACGAACAACTTCAGATCTAAAAAGCTTTGCTCATGCTGAGGGATAGTTAATGAAAGGAGAAAGGATCGTCATTTTAACAATCATGTTTCATTAAGCTCGATCGTAATTTCCTACCAATTTTGTCTTTTACTGGGAAAATGCAAATAGTTATGGGAAGGGGAAATGAAAGGCTTTATTTATATTCTGGCATTCCTTTGTTTAGACCAGAAGAAGATAAGAAGGCGAAAGAGGAAGAGGAACGTAGAAAGAAAAAACAGGAGGAAGAAAGAAAACGTCGTGAAGCAGAGCAACAACAACAACAGGAGGTTGTATATCTTGATTAACCTAAAGAAACCGTATAGATAAACAGAATCTGGATTTTGGTCAAGAAATAGTGGTACTTGTAAATTGCGGATGCAAATATGTTGCTTATTGTTGTTGTTAGGAGGAGGAAGAAGAGGAGGAGGAAGAAGAAGCTTCCCCACCTGCGAAGGGCGGTGACAAGACTGATGGTGCCAAGACTGCTTTTGATAAAATTGATGATGATAGAAAACGTAAGTCATGTCTTATATATATTGACTTTATTGGTAGCATCGTGTTGTACAAGGAAGGCATGAATCACTTGCCTGACCATTCACAACTCAAAACGAAACGTGCGAGCGAGGTTGTAATTCCCGTACAAAGCAGAGTGGTCACTTTAAAGATATTATGTAGGTGAAATCTGAGCGGCTAAAGGGATATCAGTTAAAGGTAGCAAAACATTCAATACATGCGATCGACAAGATTAGGCTGAAAACTTGGCATGTTTTATTTCACCTTTCCCTAAGATGGCCTGTGGAAGAAACGAGATTTATGACTTTGTGTTTGCCGTGTGATTTTACGGCAATTTTATTGTAACTCTTGCAAGCATTCTTTCATTTTAACCAAGGAAATAACATATACTCGAACATTTAAAATTGACCAACAAACCATAATACACGGTCCTTTCGTACGTCCTTGCATGTCCGTTCGTGAATATATGAAATGTTCTGATTTATCTTATGGGGACTCCATTGTCTGCAGCTTGCCAGACGTTTGTATGTTTGTCAGTCGTATCTAATTGACGTGACTGTTTCATTATTTTATATATTTTAACCACGATAGGTCGAATCATTGATTCTCTGATTGACCGTTTGTATGAGCTTGCTGAAGAAAGAGATGCGAAGAACAAACCCGCTGCAAAGACCGCTACATCCGGGGCATCAACTGCTGACATCAGCTCACTGGATCTCAAAGTGCGCTCACTGCGCACGCGTCTGCGTAATGCAGAGAATGCTACGGAGAGTCTTGCCAAACAACAGAAAGATGTCGAAATGAAAATCAAACTGAACCATCAAGAGGTTAGTAGTAATAACCAAAGATCTGTGTGAATTTTAATAGAACTGAGAGAAATGAATCAAAGATTACATGTGCTAACAGAATAATCGCGTACATGACCAAATTTATCAATAAAGGAATACCGAATGGTTTTCCGTGCAGGATTGCGTGATCCATGCACGAGGGATGTTGCGAGACTTTCGGAAAGCGTAAAAATACACGAGCCGTAGGCGAGTGTATTTTTACGCTTTCCGAAAGTCGAGCAACATCCCAAGTGCATGGATCATGCTATCCTGCACGGGAAAACCATTTGGTAATTGTTTTATAAAATTACTACAGTGAAACGACGCTTAACTTGATTAAAATTACTGATGAAATGTGCAGTTCTCACAACATTCGTGAATTAACCAATCAGAGAATCGCTTCTCCACGCTATTGAAAACAACAACATATGTGAACAGAATTTGATCGCAAATTCGCGAAAATATACAGCGAAAATACAGGGATTTTTTCGATAAAATATACGAAATTTGAAATGGAAAACCCGCTACACAGAGAGCCAAAGTATTTTTCAAGATTCTCGACCTGAATATGTGAAGATTGCGAAGCGTTTGATCAACTTTGAAGCGAGAGATGTTGTACTTGCATGCCATGGTCTGATGAATTTCAACGCTACGCATTGCTACTTGCTGAACAGTAATGTATCGATCAGAAATTTATTCATACAACTAAACCAACGACTCAATAATTGCAAACTTACTTCATAGTCGAAAGGTATGGTACAATGAAACTTTATAATGCGAGTATATTTCTAAAATTATGTGCAAGAATTTTTGTTCAGAATTTCCCGTGCAAGATTGTCTGATCCTGCACGGCTGTTGACCAATCAAATTGCGTGTTTCACTGTAGTTATTATATAATACGGATTTCCACTTACACAGTACTTGATTTAATGCAATGGATAAGGTACCATTTTACGAATTGGTGCATGGTCAAGGACGCCCAGTATTATATCCAAGAAATAAATGGGATTTTAAACATGAACGAGGGAACACGCCCAACGACAGTCAGAACAATATTCTCAAATACACTACTGTAAAATAAAGTTGCTGTGTTTTGTGCGTTCTATGAATTTAATACTGTTTCTGGAAATTGAAACGAAAGACTTTCCGAATGAAAGTCGGTCGAGCCAAATATTAGTACCATTTGTCGCTGCCTGAAATCTCTGTTTTGATTTGAAGTATTTCTTTTCCACGAGATATCAAACATCATTGTGTTAATAGCCGTTGGTTTGCCATTCATAGCCATAGCTATTGTCGCCCTGGGCCCTTCAACGAGGAACGTCTCATGTATCGTTGGTCTGTTTCCTGCATGAGTACAATATAGTATATAGAAGCTCAAATCTTCTTTGAATCGGTATTATGAATTAATTAATTAATTAATGGTATCATTAAACAAAGAGTGCTTTATAATTTTATCTGTAGGTGGAACGACTTCGCAAGGAATACGCTGCAAGTGAGGCCGAGTATAACGAAGCCATTAAGAATGGTGCTGTGGTGCCCGAGGCACCAAAACGTGGGCGAGGTACGGGCGCTGGAAAGGGCGCAGGCTTCTTTGATGTTGTCAAGAAAGCTCAGTCATCGCTTTGGGAAGACAAATTCCGCGCATTCAAAGAGAAACAACGAGAATCAGCATCGGTAAGTTGTACTACTGCAAGTAAAAATACACTATTCGCAAATAATGTAGTCTAAACGTTTTATCTAAAGGCCAAAATTTACAACCGAAAACCCTGGAGGTCTAAGTGTGAAAAGTAAAGTGGTTTTTGCCACTTTTTAACGCTTGTATTTGTTCATACATTAATTTGCAAAGAATAATTTTCATTCCACATTTCGAAAGGTAATCTTTTGCATTGGATTAGTTAAAATGTACCTGGTTACCATAAATTAATTATTATTTTCTAATTGCCGGTACCGGCAGCAAATGTTTGATTAACATAATCCAGACGGTGCTTTTTTGGTCTTTTGACCATGGTGGAAGGGGGGCGATGGGGAATATTAATTTTAAATTTTACAATATTCATATTTATATTGCTACCAACAAAATAATTATTCCTACTCAAAAACTTTACTTTAAAACTTGTTACTCAATATCCAAAATTCATCTTCTACCCAAATACGATTAATAGTGTGTAGTCGGGTATATTGATGTTGTGTTTTTCAACTATACTGTTTTTATGTCAAATTGGACAAAGATATCCATCCCAGTACAGGCCATGAAACATTCGTATGGAAAATTGTATCCCATTTGACTGAGATCCCACTTAGCTCATGGTGAGATCTCACCTAGTCGGGCTGGCCCGTTTCACATATGAAAACAAAATGAATTTTATATGCTTTGTCAAAGGGAATGTAAATGTAGTTTTCCATTTAGCTGCCCCCACGTTAAACTGACCCTAAGAAACCGATTGCAAAATCAGGAATAGTGTAATGGTAATGAATGAATTGTTTTCAAATTGCGGTTATCGTCATGGACATTGTCATTGTGTTTGTTAGAACCAACCAGCGTGGGTGAACAACTTGCGTAAGAGCGACAATATCATTGGAACCACTGTAATGAAACGTGAAGACCCCGAGAAGAAAAAAGAAAAAGCAGCCTGGCAAAATCAACCCAAGCTTCACAAGGCTGTCATTGATCCACGTGCCAAGAAAGAGGCTGAACCTGCGGGAGCAAAGAAACCCGCATGGTCAGGTGTGTCTTTAAAGAAGGCTGAAAAGAAGTAGACATTTTGTTTTTAAAGTTTTTCACTTTCAGAATAATATTAACCAGCTTAGAAATAAGAATGTATGCACTTTGAAATAATGAAAAAAAATCAGAAGCATAAACTTGCATTTGTTTTTTATTACACATTTTGGATAAAGATGTTAATGAATTAACGTGGCTCCCTAATGTGTAATTTTTTTATCCTGTTAACACAATCATGTATTTTGCCTTGTCAACAACAAATATGACGTTAATGTTTGCAGTAGCACCAAGTGACACTGATCATTTTCAATAATGAAAATACAAATGATTTTTTTTTAATTGTTGAATTGGCAACTCCTGTTCTATAATCACTTGTCTTACGAAATATTAAAGCGTAAATATTTTAGTAATAAAAAGTAGCAGGAACCCATTTTAAAAGGAATTGCATTGATGTAGAATAAATATAATAGGCAATGCGTAGAAGATGTAGCTGTTCATTTCCAGCCACTAGAGTGGGACATTGTTGCTGATACGGTTGTTGACGGATGTCAAGATAACTAAGCCTATATTTAGTAAACTTGATAAAATATTTTCGTACATCGCAACATTCAATTTTAACAAGCCAGTATTGTTCATTGTCTTTTTACCTGCATAATAATTGCGCGAGGGCGCTGTTTTTCCATTTATTATTTATTAAAAAAAACCTTGATTTTTAGTGATTTGAGAAACAATCCAAATATTCGATTGATTTCATTATTATCCATTTGCTTAATAAAACGGTTAGCTGGTTTTTTTTTAGTCCAGTTACCAAAAAGGAATATTAATTAAGTAAAAAGGCTTCCGAAAAATGCATTATTATATTGCATATAACACGTCATTAAATTCTGTCATTCAATTGCCTGATTGTGATCATGTGATGTAGAATAAAAATCAACTTTAACCAACTTTAACCAAATATTTTTTCAATTTGACCAACTTTGACCAACTTTTGAATTATGGGGGGGGGGGTGACCCCCACACCCCCAGTGGCGACGTCCCTAGTGAATAACATGTTCATCTCGATTTCACGTCTCCGCTAGGCTTTAAGTGGGGTGGTCCCGCTAAGAGCGGTCCGATGACTTTGACTTCGGAAAATAGATTTCCTTTATTTTTTGTGTGTTGAAAGGCATTGGTATACAAGTGTCCAAAATAAATTTATTTTTTGAAAATTCTTTTTTATGGCTTCGCTAGACGCCGAAACTCATTTTACCCGTGCAGAGCTATTTTCAAGCAAAATCGAAGGTTGAATTTCGGTAAATTGTAGAGCTGCACTGAGTCAAAACGCCTGACTATTTCCAAATTTCAATTAGATCAGCAAGTTAAGATACAATTCAGGTTCCCTGTTCCAAAAAAATAAGAGCATTTGAATAAATCGTGAATAAACGACAGCAACTTGACGGCGCACCGGTTTTTGCTTCTTGTTCGGTCTACAAAATTACACTAAAATAGAAGCTTGAGATCTCCAAATGGGACCTAAAATTACGCCGAATTGTGCTTGGCTGTAATGATTTGTACTTATTTTCAGAAGATCTGAAGAAAAACTTGCGGGTATCAATCTGTATTTGGCGCGAGTTAAGATTTTCTGGAGCCCATAATCAATGATTTTTGCATAATTTATTTAAGGGTTAGAGACTGATGTGAGTGTTTTGTTTACAAATACATGCACGAGCTGACTGTACAATAAACGAGAAATTTTCAATACTGAACGAGGCGAAGCCGAGTGCAGTATTGAAAATTTCGAGTTCATTGTACAGTCAGCAAGTGCATGTATTTGTAAACAAAACACGAACTTAAAGTCTCTAACACATTTAATATATTATCTGAGTTCACTGCTTGCATGCAATTACTGTACGTCTTTTGTAAACAAAACAAAACAAAACAGAGCTATTCCAGTTTGGAAAAGAACATTTATTAACACATTTTCATCATAAGTTTTTACCAATAGTCTAATTTTAAATACATTGCAAAATAATTGCGGCAACTGTTTTTAATTAAAACAAAACAGCGGATACAATGAAAAACCCGACTAGACTTTTTAAGCAGGAATTTTACACGCGACAAAATCGTGAAAAATCAGTTTTTGCTTCGTTTATTTACCTTGAAAGATGACAATGTACCAGTTTGTTTGGCTTTTTATACTTTTAAACATTGCATTATCTACAATTTGATTAATTTCGTCTTCACTGACTAGTGTAAACCTTGAACCGACAGCCTTGCGGGAAGCCGTTTTCAATAATGCACTTTTTTATGCGTTATTGTATATTGTATTGTGAACTTTATTTAGTCACGGTGGACTCATCAGGATTTTACACACTTATGATAAAGTAACAAAGAAAATTAGATATATGATAAATTATACTATACATATTTACAAAACTACCTGTTTTTCATGAGTGCCGTGCATTAAATTGATAAAATTAGATAAAATATTTAAAAATTATTGAATAAAGTTGCTACAGTCAGACTTAAATTTATGTAAAGTACTAGCCTGTCTTAACTCAGTAGGAAGAGAATTCCACAGTACTGCACCGCTATAACTAAAGCTATTTTTCAAGTAATTAGTACGCGGTAGTGACAAAGCTAGTTTGTTACTGGTGTCTCTCAATGCATAATTTGTGATACTATTGCGATCAACAAACATATTAGAAAGATAATCTGGAGCAAGACCATTCAAGGATTTATACACCATGATAGCCTTGGTAAGCCTACGCTGAGATACAAGATTTTTCCATCCAAGACTTTCGAAAAGATAATCGGCATTTGTATCATAACTAGAAGATGTCAATACCCTGGCAGCACGATTTTGTAATTTTTGCAATTTGTTAACTAGATAACTACTGCAACTATCCCAGACAGCAGAGCAGTAGTCGAAATATGGTTGAACTAAGCACTTGTAAATAAGTTGCATTGTGGTAAAAGGAACATAAGGTCTAATGCGTTTTAGTGCACCAATACCGGAAGCAACTTTTTTACTCAGTTTCTCAATATGAACATTCCAGGATAAGTTCTCATCAATGTGTACGCCGAGTGATTTTGTATGAGAGACTTGTTTAACTGGAACGTTATTTATTACTAATAAAGGAGTAGATTGAAAAGTGTTTATTCTTTGGCGAGAGCCAATTAGCATAAATTCAGTTTTAGTCTGGTTTAAAGTAAGTTTGTTTGCTGATAACCATTCACTGACATTAGCAAGATCCTCGTTAAGATTATGATTAATTTCATGTATGTTATTACTTGCATATGTCAAATTAGTGTCATCAGCAAACATTCCTGCCCGAGAGTGTATTAGACAATTAGGAAGATCATTAATATAGATTAAAAATAAAAGCGGGCCTAATATAGTTCCCTGAGGAACCCCACATTGTAGTAATCGATTCGAGGAGAAATGACCGTTAACAAAACACTTTTGATTACGTTCATTTAGATACGATCTTAACAAGTTACCCGCAGTTCCCTTGATTCCATATGCATTAAGTTTGTTCAGCAATATTTCATGATCTACAGTGTCGAACGCTTTTTTAAGATCAAGAAACATTACAGCATTTACATTACCACTGTCAATATTATAAGCCCATTCGTTGGTAGCCTCAAGAAGAGAGGTGACAGTAGAATGTAAGCCTCGAAATCCCGATTGATAATTAGTTAATAATTCATTTTCAGCTATAAATGTATATAGCTGATCATAAATTACCCTTTCAAAAACCTTAGCCACAATAGGAACAATAGAAATGGGACGATAGTTATCAACGCAATTGCGTTTGCCTTGTTTGTATATAGGAATAACTTTAGCACATTTCCATTCGTTTGGGAATATGCCTGTAGTGATAGAACGATTAAAAATAAGACAGAGGGATTCTGCAATTAAGTCAGAGCATTCTGTAATTAACCTAGAAGATATTTTGTCTAAACCTGTTGCTTTAGAAGTGCTTAACGTGGACAGTAATGCGTAAACGGTTGGAATACTTATTTCCCTCAGTTGAAAAATAGCATTATTTTGGTTAGGTAAATAATCAAGATAAGACCGATTGCTATAATTAAGATTAATTTTATCTGCAAGGTCTGGTCCGATGTTTGAAAAGTGATCGTTAACCGCATCAGCAATTTTGCTAGGGTCATTAATTAATACGCCATTCAAATCAACCTCGCCAATGTGAGGGCTTTTCCTATTTTTAGAAGTAAGTTCATTAATGATCTTCCAGGTCTTATTAGGATTGTCTTTATTATCATTGAAAGAATTTTTGAAATAGGCCTGCTTTGCGTAGAAGATTTCAGAATTAACAAAATTACGCATTTTCTTAAAAGAAAGCCAATCTTGAGTATCGTTGGAACGAATTGCTTTAATTTTTAGGACATCTCGCCTATGCATTTTATCTTTCAAAAGAGATGTGATCCAAGGCGATTTAATAGCCTTAACGCGCTTAGCTCGAATTGGGGCGTGCTTATCTGCGACAGAATTGAATGTGGCTTTCCAAGCATGCCACATGTCATTAGGGTTTTCGTACTGATTGATATAGTTTCAACTCTGTTGACTAATATCATTACGAAATTTAGTAGAATCAAAGTTTTTAAACTTTCTGTAGTTTATTGAAGAATGTACCCCCGTCGATGAACCCACAGAAAGTTTGCGAAAGGCGTAAATAAGACTATGATCGCTTATACTCACATGAGAAACACCAGAGCAAACAACCTTGTCAGGAGTATTTGTGAAAATATGATCTAACAATGTTGAGGAGGAGTCTGTGATTCGAGTAAGTTCATTTATAAGCTGAGAAAGATTATATAAATCGGCAATATCCATGAGTGACTTCGAATCATGATCTAAGACTGTAGAGCTCAAATCACAGTTGAAGTCGCCCATGAGGTAATACTCGATATTTTCGGAATCGAGCATACCTAGAAGAATTTCAAAAAAATTAAGCATTGCTACAGGCGAATTAGGAGGCCTGTACCAAGTGGTAATAAGAAAAGGCTTGGCTCTAGGTTTATTAACTGAAATACA